GGGGGGTTGGACTAGATGGTCTCCAGAGGTTCCTTCCAACACGCACGCATCATTCTTTTTTTGTCTGTCTAGTCTCCTAGGAACACATACCAATCTGCTATGGGTAAACAGGCTATGGGAGTTTACATTACAAACTTTCACGTTCGTATGGATACACTGGCACATGTGCTGTATTATCCTCAGAAGCCCCTTGTAACAACACGTTCTATGGAGTACTTGCGATTTAGAGAGTTACCAGCAGGTATGTTGTCAGTAAATGTTTATTAAATAAAAAATATTACTGTTGTGTTTAAACTAAGCTAAAAATGTCATGTGTGTATCTTACCTAAATGTTTAGCAAATTTATTTAATTTTTAAATGAATGATAAGTTAGCATTTTAACTCAGAGCTTGATGCCTAGACTGCAAAACACATTACTAGTGTTGCAGGTCAGACTATCCATGCAGTCTGCTAACATCTAACTGAAAAGTGCATTTTCTGCATTGGTATTTACTAGGTTTTCCACAAGGGGTCGTTCTTGTCCTGATGAAACCTCTAATCTCTTTTCTCCCCATAACTGCATTTACTGATTAGGTGCATGGTTTTCACATGCAATTTATGGAGATTTTATCTAATAAAGGATAGATTGGCCTCAACGTAGAGAATACAGCTTATTTTGAGTTATAAGTAACGCCTGTCTGGTATGCGTGCATCTTTTCAAAGTATTTGCTCTGCATATTATAGGTATCAACTCCATTGTAGCCATCGCATCGTACACAGGCTATAACCAGGAAGACTCTGTCATCATGAACCGTTCTGCTGTAGATAGAGGCTTTTTCAGGTGTGTTATTTTGAAGAGTTTGAAAAAACAAACAAAACCCCCCAGTATCGTAAGTTGTCCAGAGGCTTGAGAAAAGCTCATCTTACACCTGAAGACACTTCTCAGTATGAACAGATTTAGAGAATAGTGTTTAAAAAAAAAAAGGGGGGGATGGAGAAGGGAACAACAGCACAATGAAAACGGTGAATGTTGTCGTGTTTACTCTGTTAAATGTTGTTTGTATGGTGGTTAAATGGAAAAATATTTGGATTCTTTGCTGCCTGAGTTGCCGGTTGTATGAACTTCTTGATGGCAGCATTGCAGCTTTGTAATCTAGTCTCATCTTTAGTAGCATGACAATTGCTACCTGTGAGGATTGGCATGTTCCTCTCCTTAATGTTGTAACTGCTATTGGGACAACTGGCAACTGATGCAATTTTGTGCATTATTGCTTTTGCTGCTCTCTAGATGAAAATGAGGTAACTGTATAATATATTGGTCATGGGGTTTCCAGTTCTGTTCACTTTTTGCCTGAGGTGAACCTAAAAGGTGGATGCTTGGTGCATTGCATCTACTATCTCCTAATGCAGAATAAGATGAGACTGTTAGATTTTACGGCTCAGGTGAGAAACTTTTATGGAACTCCCACGTTCACAGAAGTGTTTAAATGTGTTTTCCACTGTAGCTCAGTTGTGCTGAGAGCGGAGCTTGGAGGTAGCAGTAGAAGCCTAAAAATGCTTGCAAAATGTCAGGTAGAAGGGGGAAAAAAAAAAACCCTCAGTATTAGAATGATGAGACAAAGATGCGAGCAATCCGTAGGAATAAGAACTACGATTGAGCAGTCGTGCAGATCTGAAGGTCTCTGCAACTCATCGATTACTAGTATGTTATCTATAGGTATTTTGGCAGTATCTGAAAAGTGACCATTAAAGTGCCACCTGAAACTGTGTTTTTTCCTTAGTGACAGTCAGATTAACAGGACTTTAGAATAAAGGTTGTGTGCCATGTGAATGTTATGAGCTTTGCTTGTCATTAATAACAGTAGCCATAGTATGTGGCAAAATGTGGCTATAATGAAATAGGGATGTACAGGTTGAGGAAGAACCTGAGGTTGATGCTGGTCTCATAGCAGAAAGCTTTTTAACTTTGTTTCAGATCTGTGTTCTATCGCTCATACAAAGAGCAAGAGTCCAAAAAAGGGTATGACCAAGAGGAAGTTTTTGAAAAGCCTACCCGTGAAACTTGCCAAGGTGAGGTGTAGTAGTATATGAAGACCGAGTTTGTTAATTAAATTTTTCTGTGCAAGGTTGTTAATGTTGAGCCAATTTTATTTATTTATTTATTTATTTATTTTGGTGAGACATAGTAGCAGAAATGTCTATATTAATAGCAAAATGCTTTGGCTGAGATGTTCATTTAGAATGCTCTTTGGACATTTTAGCACTAGGCTAAAGTTGCAAGCATGCTTGTTGAATTTCTACAAGACGTCAAAGTCAGCGTGTTGAAAATTTTGGGACTCTGTTTTCTTTCCTTCCCCAGGCATGAGACATGCTATCTATGACAAACTTGATGATGATGGTTTGATAGCGCCTGGGGTACGTGTGTCCGGGGATGATGTCATTATTGGCAAAACGGTAACTCTGCCAGAAAACGAAGATGAACTGGAAAGCACTAACAGACGTTTCACAAAGAGAGACTGCAGCACTTTTCTGCGAACTAGTGAGACTGGTATTGTAGATCAGGTCATGGTAACCCTTAACCAGGAAGGATACAAGTTCTGCAAAATTAGGGTGAGCACTGACATATGTGAATTTTTTGCTTAATCCTTTTTCTTCAGGACTTGAGTTATCCATTGAATGTTTACCTATGGCTTTCAGGTGCGCTCTGTAAGAATCCCACAAATTGGAGATAAATTTGCCAGCAGACATGGTCAGAAGGGAACCTGTGGAATCCAGTACAGGCAAGAGGTAATTTTGTTTGTTTGTTTGTTTTGTGTTTCTCCCCTCCTTCTCTGAACGCTTTACTTCACCTTAAGTGACTTGTCTGGAAAACTACTAGAGTGTCATTTATTGATTTAAATTTAGCTAGAACATGTTTAGAAAGGGACACAACTTCTCCTTATCTTACTAGAGTGACCCTGAAACGCTTGAAAATATTTCATGTGAATCCATGGAACTGCTTTTCTTAAAACTGGCGTTCTGGGAAGTACTGACCGTCTCTCTTCCTGCTCTAGGATATGCCATTCACCTGTGAAGGCATCACACCTGATATAATCATCAATCCCCATGCCATCCCTTCCCGCATGACCATTGGTCACTTGATTGAATGTCTTCAGGGGAAGGTAAAAAGAATGACTTCTGCTACATGTCTGAGAATTAAAACAGTTTTGTTTCTTTTAAGATGCTACTCTCTGGTATTTGTTAATCTACTCAAAAGTGACAATTTTTCCCCATCTACTTGATAGCAAAAGCAAATTTATTGAGGAGGACCTACAGTCCTGTGAGTTTTGTCCAGTAAGTCTGATTACAGTGTACTCTGTAATCAGTTGTTTTCATTTTTTCCGAATATTCCCTGTCACTTAAGAAAAGGAGTAGCAGAATTGTTGATACTGTGCATTTTTGATAGTCTCAGCTGTAAAATTGCGTAGCTGATAAAGCAAGATGGGCTACCGTCTTGGGCATGAAGTCTTAAGTTCTGGTATTAAGAGTTAAAACTGTTTGATCAGCCAGCCTTTCAGAATTCTGACAGGCTTTTGCGATTTTTCTCTCTGTAGGTATCGGCAAACAAGGGAGAAATTGGTGATGCTACGCCTTTTAATGATGCTGTCAATGTGCAGAAGATTTCCAATCTTTTATCAGATTATGGCTATCATCTAAGAGGAAATGAGGTATAACCAAAATGTCCATTCGTGGTATGGTAATATACGCTTTATTATGGACAGTAAGGCTTTTGACTCAGTGACTACATTGACTCGTTCAGGTTCTCTACAATGGATTTACTGGCCGAAAAATCACATCACAGATTTTCATCGGTCCTACATATTATCAGCGGTTGAAGCACATGGTAGATGACAAAATTCATTCTCGTGCAAGAGGGCCAATCCAGATCCTTAACAGACAGCCCATGGAAGGTAGATCTCGGTAAGAATGTTTATTGATTTCTATGCAGGGTGGTTTTTTTTCCTTTTGAGTTTTGATCCTAAAAATTAGCTGCCTCAGCTGTGCATCTAGAACTTAAGTGGTTTACCCTGATTAGCTATCTGTTTTGGTGTGTTTGGCTTAAGATGAGTACAGCCCGATTTAATCATTTACATCATTTTGCTGTGGGGTTGTGCTGTGGCTGTTAGCTGTCTGACATTTGCTTTAGAAATGCTCAGCCATATGACTGTAGCAACTATAAATGGTTGTGGTAGTATTCTCCCTAAGAGTTTTATTCTGAGGAGTTAGAGAAAAATTAATGCTAAGCTTTATTCCTGACTTGTAATACTGCCAATGGCAGTATTGCCAAGTTACTTGTCCCAGCAACAAGCACTGATGTATTTTGCCAGTGAACTCAAAAGGTCTTTTTTTTGCTTCCTCCTCAGCGATGGTGGCCTTCGTTTTGGAGAAATGGAACGAGATTGCCAGATTGCTCATGGAGCAGCCCAGTTCTTGAGAGAGAGATTGTTTGAAGCTTCAGACCCATACCAAGTCCATGTCTGTAACCTCTGTGGAATCATGGCAATTGCAAACACAAGGACTCACACCTATGAATGCCGGGGATGCCGTAATAAAACTCAGGTAGGTGCGAGTTTCATCAGCCAGTGTTTCTCTCTGTGGGTAAGAGGAAATGTCATGCAGGTGAACAGGACGATGGGGAAGCAGATGGTTAAAGAAACAGCAGAAAAATTGCCAGGTTAACTTCATAAGTACAAATGTTTAAGTGTTTATTATAGTGTCCTAGTTCACTCAGAAATTTCTTTGTTAGTTTGCAGTGTTGTTGGCTTATGCCTTGGCAGGAAATGTCATTCAAGTAATTTGCAGTGCAGTGTTTTCGGAGACTTTACTTTTAAGACTGGAGAGCTTATTTCTAGAATAGTGAAATAGTAAAACTCAGAGCCTCAAGAATTCAGAGGCATCACCCTTGTGACTGTCCCCATGAAGATATTTATGTCTGCAGAGCAGTGTTCCCATGGGAGATCTGTTGTGCTGCTGTGTGTGTGTGGTTTTTTTTTTTTTTTTTTTTAAATTTAGCTCTATAGTGTGTGCTTGGTTACAGAGCTGTGTCAAGGGTGTGGCAGCACAGATTAAAATAGCTATCTTGAACAATCCTGTTCTTGTGCTGGGGACTGACTAGCAATTCTAACAATGGCTTTGGGCTACTGAAGAGATGTATGCAGGAAATCCTAACTGCATTTAACGCATACCCGACATACTTTCCTATGCACTTATTCCCTTGTTAAATGGCTTTTGTTTAAGATCTGATCTCCTGGCTGCAGGTTTTACCACTAAAAATGAATTCTGAATAACTGTTGTGTAGCCTCTATAGACTATCTTGGCCTCCCTCTTGCTTTGTTAATGCCTTTGAGCACTTCTCATTAAGTGATTCAATACCTAACGTCAAGTTTTTGGCTTAAAGCTAGATCTGAAAAGTGGAAGTTCATGCTTTAGAAGTGCTTATCACAAGTCTTTTGAAATGTATTTCCAGATCTCTTTGGTTCGAATGCCCTATGCCTGCAAGCTCCTTTTCCAAGAACTGATGTCTATGAGTATCGCACCTCGAATGATGAGTGTTTAGCCTTTAAAAGGATTTTTTTAAATGGTGAGACTGAAGTGCTCAGGTTGTGTTTCATTTTGTGTAGGTTGTATTCAAAATACAATTTTACGCATCTGCTGTCTACTGCTCAAAAGTATTGTATGTTTATTTCCTGTAAATATAATTAAAATTTGTAATCATACTTGTGAATCTGTTTATTTGTATATCTGCAAAAAAGTGTGCAAGCAAATCTGTATTCAGGGGATAATGACGGTAAGAAGGAACTGATCAGTGGGCTAGAAAAAGTCAGAGGTTGCAGCTTTCCAAAATACTAACTTAAAACGATGCGTAAGTGAAAGTCCTCACATCACAGCTCTGCACCATCATCTGTGGAAAAACAAAAGCATGTTATGCTGTGTATTGTTCCAAGGGGTAATATCACATCTCAGGCATTAGCCACAGGGAGGGAGTTTTTGATGTTTTAGCTGAGGACGAGACTTGACAACTTCCTGTCCTTTCTTCCTTCCTCCCTTACTTCCCTCCCCCCCTCCCTCCCTCCCCCAGAGTCCAGCAGTATGGCATGGGAACTGACAGCATTTTTCCATGCTGAGGTCACTCGAACATGGGCCACAGCCTTCCTAAATGTGTAGCCATGGAGGAGTCTGGCAGCTTAGATTCCGTTAACTTTATCAATATCCTTTACATAATTGTGGACTGCCGGCTTGTTACTTAGCTATGGCCTGCTTCTTTGAGAGCTTTCCTATAGCTGAAAAGAAACAGCAGTAGTATGTGGGGTGTATATAAGAATCTTTTCTGAGCTGTGGCCAAGTGTAAGTGTGCTGCTCATGGCACAATTCAGTGAAACTCAATTTCAGTCACCTCTATAAGTAAGATCTCTGAAAAGGGATAGAGAATAGCTAAAAAGTCCTATGCGTAAGTGATACTGGGATTCATTTTATGCTCTTATTTTTCTACCAGACACTGTTAACGTTCTCCTAAAGGAAATCTTTCGGCTGCTCAGGGATACAAGGATCCAGGAAGTCAAGACTACCATTCTGATAAAGGTTAGCAAGTAGCAACAAGTCCAGTGGGATTAAAACTAGGATTACGTCCTAAAGAGGACTTGGGTATCCCAGTACTCTGTAGCTGGATGCTTGGCCCCCAGTGCCTCTGCCTTCAGCACTGTTATAGTTACTATCCCAACCTTCAGGATTCACTCCTAAGGACAAACAGAGTTGGTACTAAGCAATCCTCTTTGCAGCTAGAATGAGAGTGGTTGGCTTGCCATCAGCTTTGCATGCAGCCTGGCAGATAGAATTTAGCCTGGTTTGAAGCCTGGGTCAGGCTGGAGAGGAGAGGCTACAGGTCTTGCCCACAGGCCTGTTGTGGTCCGACACTCCAAGGTGCAGGGTCTAGGTTGTTTTCAGACCGGGGAAGAACAAGGAGGTGCAGGGACTTACTAGGAATTCAAGTACGTGAAGTACCCCTGTGTCTTGGGGATGGTTATGCCTGCACTGCTCCCACAAAAGCAGATGGCACATTTGGAAGTGTTATGGAAACACTGAAAGGTATTTTGAAGATACCACTGAAAGTTCCTTTGTTAAAAGCCCAAAATCTATTTTTTAATTTTGTATCTTAATCTCCAGTATTTTACAGCGCTTGAGGACTGTTTGACAATCCCTTAAGAACTCTAGCAGCTGAGACTTGCTGGGGGTGTTTTGCCAAACAGAGGAAAAGCTGCATGCTAAACTTATTTCCAGTGTAAACTTTTTGCAGAAAGCATTAAATAGAGGTGGTCCTTCCGCATCAAACTGCTGAGCAAACTTTTAGGGGAAAAATCTGCTGACTGTTTATCCACAATACCTACCTTTGGTCAAGGCTATTTCATGCAGGGTTTCCACAACGTGGATTTTTGCAGAAGCTGTTGCTTCTCCTTTGGCATTTGATGCATGACACTCGTACTCTCCAGCATCTTCTTTGCTCAGAGGAGATATCTAAGGGAAGAAACCCACCCCCCCCCAGTAAGTATCCTGTGTGCGGTTAGGAGTGCTTCTGTTTTAAGATACCTTTTATAACTTCTGAATAGCTCAAGACAGATAATGCAGCAACAGAGGAGAGACAAACAGCTAGTGGAATGAAGCAGCATTTAACCCTTAGGGACCATACTGAGTGCAGCACAGTTCAGACCCTATTTCTTCTGTCTGCAGTCAGTGGTCTGGTTCAGATGGTGGTGGCCTTCTCCCGTCAGGTTTGGGAGGCAGCAGCCCCCAAGGACAAGCACCCACTCCTGCAGTTCAGCCAGGTCTGGCTTTGTTCTGCTCTGCTAGGCCAGGTGGAGCATGCCTTGATGCTCTTTAGCATTTGCTTAGTTTGGAGATGTGTTGGAGCACTGCACGCTTGGCGTGGAGAGGGAGGCAGGGAGAAAAAAACCTTCCTGGAATGTGCTGCATCCAGCACATTATCTCAGCAAAGGCATAGGCTCAAACCGTTCCCTGTCTCTGCTTCCACCTCCGCCTTGGCAAGTGGTCTGGGAACCAACGCCCTGAGCCGTGCTCCCCTGCTGCCAACTGCTCTGCAGCTGGGGGCCATCACCAGGGGTGTTCTCATACTGCCAAAGCTCATCTCCTTGCAAATTGATGCAGTTCCCTTGCTGTGATGGATGGCAGCCTCCTCTGGCCTCCCTACCACTTTGCCCAGATGCATGGCAATGATTCATTAAGCTGCAGGTACTCCTCTAGCTTAGGAGGCCTGTTGAGTGTGAGAACAGATGCATCTCCACTGTGCTGTTCTCAGGTGATGCACTTCATTAGGGCAACTTAGCTCTGCCAAATCTATAAGAGTTCCTCAGCCGTGGGTTGTTTTTAGGGATGTCCTGCCTCTACTGATTGCTTCCTACACACAGAGAGGGTCTCTCCTTTCCGCTAATAGCAGCAGCAGCAGCAGCAGCAGCAAACTGGCATACAGAAAGGAGATCTTCTATTTAAGTCTAGTTTTCTCTGATCACAGGACGAAAATACTGCTACAGACACTTTTCACTGCACTTTTCACTGCCCTTAGACAGTGGTGAAAAACTGCAAAGGGCAAGAGTGGAGCCAGCAGCCACCTTCACCCTTTGTCTGATTCACACGCATTTTTTGCTCCTAGGTATCCTGTCCATTGCCATGTGTTTTCTGTACTGTTTTTTGTTCAGGAGTTGTTTGCAAACTGTACTGTACTGTTTATGCAGCTCTGTGCATGCACAAAATACTTACCAGGACCCAACCAGTCACTTCGTGTTTCTCAGGGCCCCCTCGGGTCTGGATAGCCAGGTTCTCTCGGTCCCCAGGCAGAAGCTCCATCCTCTGGACACCATACTGTCCTCGAATTATCTAAACAGAAGGGCAGAAAGGCATGAGGGTTTGGGGGTTTACTTATGCTTGGAACTGTTAGGACCTTAGCTGCACACTAATTTTGCATGAGTGTATTTTGTGCAGTAGCCGTGTTTTTCTAGAGCCTGCATTTTACCTTGTCCTCCTTGTTTTGCAGCTCCACTACAGTGATGTCTCTGTGTCTGTACTGGGGCTTCGTTCCCCCTTCCTTAGCAGAAACAGTTAGGGGAGCGCAGCTTTGCGTGGGTGGGGCTGCGCAGCAGGGTGTGCGAGCATGCTCTGTACTGACCTTGTCTCACAGAACTCCAACACACGCTCCCGTGGGAGCATTTAGTCCAGGAAATGATGCTGGTGCTGAACAAGGAGGATCCAGCTGCCTGCAACTGCTGGTACCCATATGTCAGTCCAGTTCACCAGGCCAGAGCATTCACTTTTTGGCTTGGGGTGGGATGTGGAGACTGCAGGAGCTGAGTGTTGTCCTCGTTAGGAGAGGCCACACACACACAGCTCTTCTGATGATGAGGCTTTTTAGTGTGGCAGCAGCAGAGACCTGAGTGTGTGCAGGCTCCCCCTTGTGTGACCTGCTCTCTGCCAAAGAGGCCAGGGACAGACACGAAGGGTTGCTGCAGCAAACCCAGCAATGCCTCCAGGCATGCACAGCGTTGACAAGAGAGCAGTAGTGTAGTCCTTTCCCAGTGCTAGCTACCAGAGCCTAGAGCAGAGCACAGGAGATAAGTTGTGTTCGGCCCTTGTTGTCAGTAGGACAAGCAATCTCATAGCCGCGAGGAAGAGTCATGAAGAGCAGAGCAGCACTGACAGTGTAAGCAGAGCATCTGATAACACGTGGAAAACGCTGCCTGGGTCAACATGCTCACGTTGTAGGCTCACGTGAGAGGTTGGTCTGAGACTCTTAGGGTTTTCTGCCTCAGCACAAAGTGACCTTTAGGTCAATTTAGCTTTTCTCTGTGTTATTCTTAGTGTAGTATCCTTTCAGCTCAATTTTAAGATCCCGCCAAAGTGTCCATGAGCCTGTGGCATCTGAAGAGGCTAAAGGGGCCAGGCAGTGGCTCTCAATCCCATGGCTAAGGTCCCCTGTGCTCGAGATTGGCTCCTGCTCTAAGCTAGGTGTTACCAGCACGCTGCCAAACCAGCACGCTGCTGGCTACTGGAAGAAACTACCCTGTGCGGCTCCCATGCCTGACCTGAGTGAGCTGCAGCCAGTTGTCTCAGAGTCACTGCCGTCAGCAGTGTGAGAGCAGGTCAAGGGACATTCTCTGCATGCTCTGAATACCAGGCGCTACCAAGAAAAACATAAGTCTAGCTCCCCATCAGGATCAACAAGAGTTTAGAAAAAGAGATGACTAAAGATTAAACAAAGCCAGATGTTTGGAGGTGGACAGAGAATTGCACAGATGGGAGAACTCATCCAAGATGTGTGTTTTTTAAGGAGGGGTTTTGCTATGGCCTGTATTCTCCTGCTGCTTACCAGGCAGTTCCACCTGCCTCAGCTTTGCTAGGCCCCAAGAGCTCCTAGCAGGACCCTTACTTTGTTCCAGATGAGGACGGGGGTTGGGATGCCTATGACTTCACAGCTCAGGTAGATCTGTGCTCCCGTCACGTTCCAGATGTCCTTAGGAGGGGTCACAATGGAAGGTCCTGCAAAGAGGGAGAAACGCTTTCAAGCACTGGGTGACTCCAAGTCCATCTCCTTGCTAGCCTTTTTAAGTGGGGCCATTCGCTTCTGATGGGTTTTGAGGATGAGGTGAGTGGGACTCTGCCTGGAGCGAAGCTTGCTGGGCTGCTCTCGTATCACAGCATTTCTCTCTCTAAAGCCTATACGTGCAGCTAGCCTTAAACTATCCAGGCTAATGGCTGGCCGGGGCACCTGCCTCAGATGAAAATTCGAGTGTTGTGCAATTCAGAAGGTCAGTCTAGCTGCTCCTGAGATTGACGTTAGAGGTAAGATAGCATTTGTGTTCTGGTGTCTCAGCATCTGGGCAGGATTTTACAAACTGCAGCCTCCACTCGCTGTGGGGTCGCCGAGTGTGTCTTATCACTGGGCGTCTGGCTGGTGTGGACAGAACCACCTGGGCAGCAGGCAGATGGGGGGGCTTCTACTCTCCTATGCTGTGAAGAGCTTGGCTAGCTTCACATTACCCACCACGATTTTAACACAACAAAGCCTGTGACAGTTGTGTAGTGGGGTCTAAGTCAGTGTTGGGCTGCTCCTGTTTTACCTGTGTGCATATATTCAGCAAAAGGAGGCTGGCTGGAGGGTCACAAAGCTCTCTGTGCAGACAGTCAGGGAAAGGACCAGGTGAATGCCCAGCTCTCATTTCCCTAGAGAGAGCTCTGATCCCTGGTTGAACAGGGAGTTGTTTCTAAGGCCAGATAGGAACAGAGCTGTTTTACAGATCTGGCTGGAGATGTTTATCCCTCAGGCTGGGAGCTTGTCAGAGACGTAGCCCATAGCTCAGGAAAGAAGAATGGCCTTTTCCGTTTAATCCTTCTTAGGACTGCTTTGCAAATTGTGGCTATTTCCTACAATAGGAAGTGCAGCCCAAAGGAGCACATAGTGTTTATTTCCACTTGTTGATATAGCTTGGAGAACACAGATGATTTTCCCCTTCTCCTCTGGAGAGGCAGGCAGTTACAGGACACTGAGGTTCATTTCACCAAGAGAAGTTTTTTCCTGCAGGAACAAGTGCCCCAGATTCAGTCTGACTAGAAGTCCTTGGCCATGCTTGCTCATAGCCCATGCCTCAACCCCAGCTCCACAAAAGATGGGCAGGTTTGGGTCCCAATGATCCTTCTGGGGTCCTGAACATGCACTGACCTCAGCTCTGCACATCCACTCTGCCCTGCAGCCTTCTCACAGGCAGCAGGGACCAGGGTTCAGGTGCATCCCAAGACTGACATCTTCCAACAGAGAGCTGGGGCTTTCTTCCTCCTTGGGATCTGGGGGCACATCTCACTGCTGTCACCAGTGGGAGGATATCAGCCATCCCTCTGTCTCAGCATAAAGGATGGCAGCATGGCTCCCCACTCATGGGTGGCTGGTGTGAGCCCAAAGAAATATTTGCTTCTTTCTTGCGAGACTTCCCTGGCCAAGAATGACTCTGCATGTCTTGCTGGGGGGAAGCCCCTCTGAGACTCGGGGTGGCTGCAACCCAAATCCTCCATTACAGAGGCATCCCAGTCTTGTTGGTTTTAACAGGAGGTAAGTGCATAACAGTAGGGAAGAGATCGGTGCAGTGCTAGCAGACGGTTAAAACCACACCAGTGATCAGCAGGAGCTGGGTACCACATTACCTGGCAGGCATTACAACCCAGATATGCTTTTTGTCAGCACAGAACTAGCTGATAAAAGGATTTAAGTGTTTCATTAAGCAGCTTAACCTGCTGATGGTTGTACTGTTGCAGAGATTGATTCCCTGTGTGTGCTGGCCAGGATGAGTGTTTCAGAGAGTCACAGCCCCCTTTCCAACCTGGAAGGGACGTTTTTGCTGGATTTATTCTTGCTCCAAGCTGCCGGGGCATGCTGCCAAGAGCATAGCAGTACCTCCAGGCAGTGGTGTGCACAAGCAGCACTACAGCAGTGCCCAGCTCTGCACTCTCAGCCACACCCCACTGTAGGTTATCCCCCCAGTACCACCACAGCATATTGCAGCATGGTGATCCGTAGGGCTAACACCCCTGACACGCTCTTTCCCAAAGCACTGCCGAACCCCTGCGCAGCAGCAGGACTGTGGCCAGCTCGGGGTATCGCTGTCCCTGTGATGGGGCCAACTCAGGTCACGCAGTCTGCTCTGCTGCCCCAGCACGGCTGTTTCCGGGGGAGCCCTGCTATTGTTTTTCTGGTATCCCTTAAACAATAGGGTGTTTGGCAGTTCCAGTAGGACCCGGATGTCCCCAGGCTGCTCAGCTCATCTTGTACCCCGCAAGGACCTCCTACAGATGTGCACTGAGTGTAGCCTGCTTCTGCCTTCTGCTCCAGCTGTCCAAGACCCTCGATGTGCAAGATGCCCTTCCTAGGGCACAGCTCAAGGCCCGTCTCGGGGAAGCTGTGGGAGGCAGGGTTAAGGTGCCACTGTATGATACCCTCCTCTTTATCACCATTTGCAGGCGTTCTCTGTGATGCAGGAGAAACACGGCTACTGTAAGAACGGCCACCACCTCCCTCCACAGAAGAGACCCTGATTCTTATGTTAAAACACAGGCAGATTTTAAGGCACCATTATGCTCTTTCAGGATCTGGCTCAATTATTCCCTGGCTAGGAACTGGCAGCATTCAACGCACCACTAAATTCACTGATTGCAGTGTCTCAGTCTCAGCTGCCACTGAGTTTTAACCCTGTATCGTTATGGACAAGGGGCAGGAGGGAGCCAGTGGAGGTGGGCCGAGGGACCCAGCGTGGTG